TGTAAGCACTCCAAGTCTGCCTGCTTCTCCTGCCTTACCCTCAGCCACCCAAGACAGCAAGACCAACCCTCCTCTTCCTTCTCGTTCTCTTCATTGTGAAGATGAAGACGTCTATGGTAATTCACTTCCACTTAGTATATAGGTGCCCAGCCTGAAGTATAATAGCACAACCATAACTCACTGCAGCCTCAACCTCCTGGGCTCAAGTGATCCTCCTGCCTCAGCCTCCGAGTAGCTGGGACTATAGGTATGTACCACCATGCCCAGCTAATTGTTTAAACATTTTTTATAGAGACAAGGTTTGACTGTGTTAATCAGGCTGGTCTCAAACTCCTGGCCTCAAGCAATCCTCCCACCTCAGCCTCCCAAAGTGCTGGGATTACAGGCATGAGCCACCACATCCAAATTCCTTATGATTTTCTTGTTTTGTTTTGTTTTGTTTGTTTTTTTTTTGGAGGGGGGGAGGAAGGCAGGAAGGAAGGGAATAAGGATGGTAGGGAGGAAGGAAGGGATGAAGGAAGGAAGGAAGGGAGGAAGCGGGGAGGGAGGGAGGGAGGGAGGGAGGGAGGGAGGGAGGGAGGGAGGGAAGGAAGGAAGGAAGGGAAGAAAGGAAATCAAGCAATGAAAGAGACATTGCCGACCTGGATCTAGAGGTTTACAAGTTGACTTCTTTTTTTTTTTTTGAGAGAAGGAAAGAAAAAAAAAATAAGTAAAGGAGAGGAAGAAAGAGGAAGAGAAAGAGGGAGAGTAAATGGAAATATTGCTTTATTTTGAAAAAAATTGGGTATTAATAATGGCCAATCAATGTTTCATTCAAACTTATGGGTAGGTGTGATGTATTGACAAGAATGTATATTTTGTGTATTTGAAGTGGAGCGCTCTATAAATATTTATTAAGTTTACTTGTTCTGGATCTGAGTTCGAGTCCTTGATATCCTTATTAATTTTCTGTCTCATTGAATCTAAGTCTCCTGTCTGGGTGTTAGGATCGTTAGCTCTTGTTGTTGCATTGATCCTTTTACCACTATATCTTTGTTGCTTTAAAATCTATTTTCTCCGATACAAGAATTGCATCTCCTGCTTTTTATTTATTTATTATTTATTTTTGCTCTCCATTTGGTTGGTAAATCTTTCTCCATCCCTTTGTTTTGAGTCTTTGTGTATCCTTGCATGTGAAACAGGTCTGGATGTAACATGCCGTTGGGTTTTGGCTGTGTCTTTTGATTGGGAATTTAGTCAATTTAAATTTAGGGTTACTGCCATTTGATGTTGACTGGCTGTTTTATCCATTTGTTGGTGTAAATTCTTCTTTATGTTGGTGCTCTTTACTTTTTGGTGTATTTTTAGAAAGGCTAATACTGGTTGTTTCTTTCTGTGTGTAATGCTTCTTTCAGAAGCTCTTGTAAAGCAGGCCTGGTGGTAATAAAATCTCTCAGTTCTTGCTTGTTCATAAAAGATTTTATTTTTCCTTCGGTTGTGAAGCTTAGTTTGGCTGGATATGAAATTCTGGGCTGAAGGTTCTGTTCTTTGAGGATGTTGAATATTGGCCCCCACTCTCTTCTGGCCTGTAGAGTTTCTGCCGAGAGATCTGCTGTAAGTCTGATAGGCTTGCCTTTGTGGGTAATCTGACCTTTCTCTCTGGCTGCCCTTAGTATCCTCTCCTTCATTTCAACCCTGGTGAATCTAACAATTATGTGCCTTGGGGTTGCTCTTCTTGAGGAATATCTTTGTGGTGTTCTCTGTATTACCTGGGGTTGAATGTTGACCTGCTTTGCTAGTTTAGGAAAATTTTCCTGAATAATATCCTGAAGGGTATTTTCCAGCTTGGATTCATTCTCTCCGTCGCATTCAGGTACACCTATCAAACGTAAATTTGGTCTTTTCACATAGTCCCACATTTCTTGGAGACTTTGCTCATTCCTTTTTATCCTTTTTTCTTTAATCTTTTCTTCACGTTTTATTTCATTAAGTTGGGATTTGACCTCTGATATCCCTTCTTCTGCTTGAACAATTCGAGTGTTTAAACCTGTGCATACTTCTCGGAGTTCCTGTATTGTATTCTTCAGTTCCATTAATTCACTCATACTCCTCTCTAAGTTGTCTATTCTCAATAGGATTTCATCAAACCTTTTTTCAAAGTTCCTAGTTTCTTTACGTTGGGCTACAACATGTTCTTTTAACTCACCGAAGTTTGTTATTATCCATTCCTTGAAGAGTGATTCTGTCATCAGGAGGCGCTCGTTCTCCATCAAGCCTTGTTCCATTGTTGATGTGGAACTGTGATCATCTTTAGAGGGAGAGGCGTTCTGACTTTGAGTATTCTCAGCTTTTTTACGCTGGTTTCTTCCCGTCATTGTAAATTTATCCTCCTGTCGTCTTTGAAATTACCAACTTTCAGATTAGGTCTCTTGAGTGGACGTCCAGGTTGTTAGTTCCCAGGGCTAGAGCAGCGGCGTTAAAACTGATGGTGCTTTTCTGCCCAGGATTCTCCTGTCGGGCTTCCTTCTTGTTTCTGTAGTAGGCGACTCTGCCTTCCCGGGGCTCCAAACCTCGGTCAGAAGGGGAACTGGTCACGTTTACTCTGCGCCGAGCTGCCGCGTCGAGGTGCCGGCGGAACCGCTGTGCGGACCACGAGAGTGGCGCTGGCGACTCGTGTGTTTCCACCACTGGGGGATCTTCTGCTCCGTGAGCGACCAGACTTTGTCTGAAAGTGTGGCGTCCTCTAGTTCTCCGCGCCTTCCCTGAGAGCCGCAATCCCGGGATGTTAGCGATCGGCCATCTTGGATCTTTCTCTGATTTTCTTAATAATGTTTTCTTTTCTCTAGCTTATTTTATTGTAAGAATACAGTATATATTTTATATGCAAAGTATGTGTGTTAATTGTGTTATCAGGGAGGCTTTTAGTCAACAGTAAGCTATTATTAGTTAAGCTTTGGGGGACTCAAAAGTTACTTTCAACCATTCAGGGGGTCAGTACCCCTAGCCCCTGTGTTGGTCAGGAATTACCTATATATAAATGTGGTTTGGCTGTTAAATTTATTTCTCAGAGGGAAAAATTGTTTTAGATAAGCATGCGCGCTTGATATATACCAACAGAGTAATTTTTTTTTATTTTTTATAGTTCTAGATTATGTGGGCTGATTCTTAAATAGTAAAGAGAAGTTTCAAGTTTTCTCCCCCAGTTTCTGTATACCTGAGGGAAGGTGGTGATGGTTTTGAGCTTTGTTGTTGCTTTAGCTGTCCTTTGCATTGTTTTCTTCTGGTTCTATCACTGTGCTACTCTGTCTGAATTTTCTTATTTGTTTAAAAATGATGCTTGGGAGGTAGTGGAGAGTAGGACCAGCAAAGAGTTCTATGGTCCTTCTTGAAGAGGACACTGTCTTGCAAGTGTAGTGCACAACTTGGAGTGAAGGCTGGGATAGTCCGGCTGTTCATTAGGCATCGTGTTCACGTGGTGTTCACGTAGGCACTGTGTAGCTTTTGACCTCTGCTGGCATCCTGTCTTCAGGAGCCAATGATGCCCTGCCTGCTTTATTAAATGACTCATTTTATGTGTGTAGTTATTCAGCCAGAAAATATCCATAGCCAGAATGGCATCTGCCTCTCATCATCTGCTTGTGCCATAGCATCTTTGTTATTTCATCGTTATGGGGCTGTATCAGCCCAAGGACCCACCTCTTAACCGAGTCACTTGCTTTTCCTCAGTACACTGTGCGTCTCCCAGGGTTGGCTCCTCCATGGTGGAGGGCTCTGTGAGTGCAGCTTGTCTGAACCACGGTTCTCACTTCTGGTCCCAGAACATGCCGCTAATAAAGCTTTATCCCTTCAACGGAAGCACACCAAGCGTGTTAGGTACTGGCTGCCACTAAGGACAGAGGAGTCATACAGGACAAAGTGCTACTTGGAGGTGTTGTGTATAGATTGTGAACTGTCATAAGAGTAGCACATACAGACTGGGCTTGGTGGCTTGGTGTAATCCTAGCACTTTCGGAGGCTGAGGCAAGCGAATCACTTGAGGCCGGGAGTTTGAGACCAGCTTGGCCAACATGGTGAAACCCCGTCTCTACTGAAAATACAAAAATTAGCAGACATGGTAGTGTACACATGTATGTAATCCCACTTACTCTGTTTCAAATAAATAAATACATAAATAAATAAATAGAGTTACACATACAATACTTCGGGAGTTCTGAGGAAGATGTGGTTTCTTTCATCTGAGCAAATCAGGAAGATCTAGTGGAAGAAGAGAAGTGCACCTTGACAGACTGGCAGACTTAAATATATGGAAAAACTTCTTCTGCTAAAAATGTTTTCCTAAAATTTACCCAAAGTTGGGTAGCCTTTTCCCTCACCTGCTAACTTGTCTTTTCTCCCTTTTTACATGACCTTCAAAGGGCAGATCTGGGGTTATGATTAGATGGAAGAGGAAAGTATAATTTCCTTTCATGACAGCCGCTACACTTCTGCGGGGGGTGGGGGGTCTCTGTAACCAGCACTAAATTAACAAAAGGTGCCTGAAAAGGGAAAAACAACAACAAGAAGCTGTCTCTGCATCTGGCTTTTGAAGGGCTGGTTTCCTTCCATGTGCTGCATCCTTGTTGCCCATTAATCCACCGCAGTGGCGTGTTACGTTCTAGTGCGCGCTTGCAGCCTATATGCTGCTCTCTCTGCTTCCAGTTACCTGGTTTCACTTGCTGGCAGCGGCTGCCAAAGGGTCCTGCTGTCATTTAACCTCATATGTCTAACTCAGAAGAGCTCTGTTCTAGTAAAATCAGAGTGCTGCCTCTGTGAGAATAGTGGCTGTTGTCATTGCCGGCTGTCCTGTCCTGCTACTTCATGTCAATATAGAAAACCTCTTCAGATGAGAGAATGGCAGTGTCCAGGAAAGCCATCATGATTCTGCAACACAAACTACTTCTCTGCATTCTGACAACATCATTTTTAGTCACATCATATTGATTGATCCCTGAACAGATATATATCATTTCCTCCCTTTTCAGACCGAGCTAATAGATCTGTCTACGGTAGATGTGATTCTCATCTCTAACTATCACTGTATGATGGCATTGCCATACATCACTGAGCACACCGGCTTCACAGGCACAGTGTATGCCACGGAACCCACCGTCCAGATCGGCAGGTGAGACGGTTGATTCTGATCCCGCTTGGATGTGGCTGCAGAGCTCCTCCTTCAGTGCTGACGGTGACACAGTATTATACCAGGGGTGGTGGTTACTTCTTCAGAACAACTAAGCTGAAGAACAGGCAGAGTAGAAAACTCTCTAGATGAGGAATGTTCATTGGAAATGCCTAAGGATGGATGCTGAAAGTAGCTTTGTTAGTCTTTTTTCATATAAATTCATTGGAAGGAGTTCATGGAGACAGCTCCCCTGTACAGAGGATGCTAATTAGGGGAGACTTTTTCATGTTTAGGAAGACACCACAAAGATGCAAGGCAGAGGGCTTCAGAGGGAAAGAACGCAACATCTTTAAAAGAAGAACTTTTATGGCTTTGCTTTCAAGAATACCCCTTTTGTGGTTTGTTGTAGACTATAAAGGGAGACAGAGCTTGTAGAAAATACAGGATAGATAAAAGTAAATAGATGGTTGTCTCTGCTGTTGACAGAGTGAAAGTCAGCAGTCTAGGAGTAAATCTGCAATTTCCTTTGACTCTGAGAAGCCTCTGTCATCCCTTTCTCTGCCCCCACTAAGCCTTTGTGATACAGGTGGTTACCACAAGTAACTGTATTATCATTTAGTGAGAAAAAAATTTGTTAATTAATTTTTTTGAAATAAGTATGGTATAAGTTGAAACTGTCAGGACCCAAAATGTGAGACTTAAGAATTGCTATAGACCCCTAGGTTGGATTCTAGAGTCTTGCAGGTGAAATAATGTGTTTTCTTGTTTTTATATCAAACCATATTACCTGCACTGTGTATGTAACTGTAAGGGAGCTGAGGAAGGGCTCTCACAGGAAAGTAAAACCCTCGAAGTGATACGTTGGTTTCAATTGAGAGGATAAGCTAAAAAACTAGCTCCTAGTTTGGAAAAGTTAAAGCAGTGAGGATCAGCACACCAAACTTCCTATATAAGGTACATCCAGGGCCGGTGTGGTAGCTCACGCCTGTAATCCCAGCACTTTGGGAAGCTGAGGCAGGTGGATCATGAGGTCAGGAGATAAGACCATCCTGGCTAACACGGTGAAACCCTATCTCTACTAAAAATACAAAAAATTAGCCAGGCGTGGTAGAACATGCCTGTAGTCCCAGCTACTTGGGAGGTTGAGGCAGGAGAATCGATTTAACCTGGGAGGCGGAGGTTGCAGTGAGCTGAGATCATGCTACTACACTCCAGCCTGGGTGACAAAGCAACACTATGTCTCGGAAAAAAAAAAAAAAACCCTACATCCAGGACACCAGGAAGCCTGAATCACAGGTCTTGAGATGTTGAAGCTAGCACTCTTTCTTCAAGATGGAAGGAAGAGATGGTATTAGGCCAAAATAAATAAATGAGAATGAAATGAAGTTGTTTAGCTTTCAATTGCTAATACATTTATAGCTTACCAGTATGTATATGTTAACTTGGAGGGGATTTAAGTCAATCTGGATCACCTGTATTAGATTATGAATGGGGATTCAAGGTGTTAAATCCATTTCTAGCTTTGTAGTCACCCTCTGGCCATCAAGAATTCCCGTAGTTCTCTGTCCTGTGAATCCCCAGAGCATGTGTACCTCGATCCAACTTATGGCAGCATTTCTCAGACTCCTCATCCCTGGTTCTGTGGTATTCCAGTGCATCTTAGAGCCAGCCTTCTGCACGGAGCAGCCTACTCCATTTGTCCTTGGAGTATTCTTCCACGGGGAATTTTGCTAATTCCTAAAACACATGTCAAGAAAACTTTTTTAATCCATTTAAAATGTTCATTTAATACCGTCATTTAAAAAAAAAATCCTGCCTACACCCTGCTGTGTCTCTAAAATTAGATACTTCACAGTCATTTAACTTCTCCCTATATATTTTTAGTAATGTAAAAGTAGAGATCTTAAAGTGAGAGTTAAAATAGGTTTGTGTATTTCTGTGTTTAGAGACAAGACATGTGCCAGGCTTGTTTTAAAGGTGAGTTAAATTAATGAAGTTCAGAATTTTTAGCATAAAAATGCAATAAGAAACCAAGGATTTTGTTTAACTTTATATCAAATGATGATGAAGTTTACAGGCAGCAGAGAGGAAGATGAAGATGAGATGGGGGACGGGGCGGCGGGGGAGGTGGGCAAGTCTTTTCTCCCGGACAACTGCTAAGAGTATGGTGTTTCTCAACTTTTTTAATGGGTGTTCCTCACACTTTTTGTTTAAACTCAGGCTTCTCATGGAAGAGCTGGTGAATTTCATTGAAAGAGTGCCAAAAGCTCAGTCTGCCTCCTTGTGGAAGAATAAGGACATTCAGAGGTGAGGAGCAGACCACTCTTCCCAGAGATTATAGAGCCAGGTGGTTTGCATAGCAGTCTCATTTGATTTCTTCTTTTATGCTTAAACAATGATTTGGTTATATTAAAGATTATCTTTCCATAATGCACGAAAGGGGTATGTTTGATTCACCCAACATTTTTCGAGAGGCAGCTAAGTGCAGGGTGCTTTGCTGGGTACTGGAGTTTTTAAGAACAATTGGCTCTGTCCTTGAGGTGCTCAAAGTTTAATCGAAAGTCAGATAACTCAACAGGTCAGTTACAGTTTTCATGGCATAACTTAGAAGAGATGTTTGCCCGCAGTGCTGTAGGCACTCAGAAATTGAAGAACTCTGCTTAGGGAGGCTGAGAAGGACAATCCTTAGGAGATGACAGTTCAGGAAGAAGAAATGGACTTGTCCAGATCACAGAGGTTGAGAAGAGAAGTCCAGGCACAGCATCTTGGGACATAGTATATTTAGGTAGCAGCGAGAAGTTCAGTGTGGATTCGGGTGAGTAGAGATGTCAGAGGTGAAAGTAAAGGGGTGAACTGGAGCAAGAGAATGAAGACTTTCATATGTAAAGCTTGAGTTTTATATTGTTGAGGGTATGAAGTGGCCAGCAAAGGTTTATAAGGAGGCAAATGACATTTGTTTTGGGGAAAGTAACTCTGAAAGCAGCGTGGATCGGAATGCAGACACAGGCAGGAAGGCTAGCAGTGTGACTGCTGAAACCTAGGGGAGACAACAAAGCCTTGAACTGAGGCAGTATCCCTGAACATGAAGCTGAAGTCTAACTTCAAAGGAATTTCTGAGATAGAATCGAAAAGAACTGGTAAGAGTTGTAAAAGAGGCTGTAAGTAATTAATAAGGTAGGAGGACAGCCGAGTGGAAGGCAAGGGACAAGGAAGTTGCAGAAAATACAGGTTGTTGTTGGTCTCAGATGCTGCAGAAGTATGAAGTAAAACAACGATAGGCCCTTGGCTATGGGAATGAGAAAGTCATTAACGATCCCAGAGAGGTGACTTGCCATAGAGTGATCAGTCCAGAAACCAGGCTGTAAGAGATGAAGCAAGGAGAAACACCAGCAGCTTGATTGCACTTCCATGCTCTCGTATTCCATGCAGCAGAGTATCCCATGGATGTTAACACACTGGGCTTTCTCTAACCCTCGCAATTCTGCCTTCACCTCTAGGCCCCACAGCAGCCACGCCTGATGGTGGCATCGAGTCTGGAGTAAAAAGTAGTCTTTTCTTAGGCAGTTGGTGTTCCATATGCTCCTACCCAAGTCTGCTTTTTTTTTTTTTTTTTTTTTTTTGAGATGGAGTCTTGCTCTGTCGTCCAGGCTGGAATCTTGCTCTGTTGTCCAGGCTGGAATGCAGTGGCGCTATCTTGGCTCACTGCAACCTCTTCTTCCAGGTTCAAGCAGTTCCTTGCCTCAGCCTCCCAAGTAGCTGGGATTAAAGGTGCCTGCCACCACGCCTAGCTAATTTTTGTATTTTTAGTAGTGACAGGGTTTCACCATCTTGGCCAGGCTGGTCTTGAACTCCTGACCTCATGATCCACCCACCTCGGCCTCCCAAAGTGCTTGGATGACAGGCGCGAACCACTGCACGCAGCCCCAAGTCCACTTTTTTTCCAGTTGCCACTGTTTTCTCTTTCTCTGTAGATCAGTGATTTGTAGTCATCTGCTTCTTTCAGTGTTAGAATGTCTTAGTTTTTGGAGATCTTCTTTCTGTTAGAATATAAATATGCAGCTAGAAGAATATACTTTTTCTATAGTGACTATTTCGGAGCTTGAGCATGAGTCTCCTCTGCATTCCTTTGTACACATGTTACTCATTTTACTTGTGTAACACTTGCTGTGTGCCAGGCACTATTCTAAATGTGTTATTTAATTATGTATTTTTTATTTTTAAAAACTTTTTTTATTTTTTATTTTTATTTATTTTTTTCTAAAGAGACGGAGTTTCACCATATTGGTCAGGCTGGTCTTGAACTCCTGACCTCGTGATCCACCCACCTCAGCCTCCCAAAGTGCTGGGATTGTAGGCGTGAGCCACTGTGCCCTGCCTTAATTTATTAATTAACAACTCAATGAGTTAGGTAGTGGTGTTATTACTTCTTTTTTTTTTGAGATGGAGTCTTACTCTGTTGCCCAGGCTAGAGTACAGTGACACAATCTTGACTCACTGCAACCTCTGCCTCCCAGGTTCAAGCGATTCTTCTGCCTCAGTCTCCTGAGTAGCTGGGACTGCAGGCACGCGCCACCACGCCCAGCTAATTTTTGCATTTTTAGTAGAGATGGGGTTTCACCATATTGGCCAGGCTAGTCTGGAACTCCTGACCTTGTGATCCACCTGCCTCAGACTCCCAAAGTGCTGGGGTTTCAGGTGTGACCCACCGCACCCGACCAGTGTTATTACTTTTTTATGGGAGAGAAAACCAGCACAGAGAGATTAAGTAACTTGCCCAAGGTTGCACAGCTAGTGAGTGGCAGGATCTGGATTCAAACCTAGACAGCCGGCTAGCCTGGCTGCAGAGCCCATGTTCCCAACCACCTCTTGTGCACACACACATGCTTCTTCTGAATGTCTGTTTCCTTGTTTGGAGCCATATGGTATGGGCGTGGCTTCACATTAGGAAACATTTTCTGAACATGCTTCAGAAAATGTTCTGAATGTATCTAAGTCTTCGGTGTGTATGTGAGTGGGGTGTATATGTGAGTGGCCTCCTTGATCCGACTGCCCCAGTGCAGTACTGCATTCTTATTCCCAGCTCCCTTTTCTTTTGCCCTCGGTTCTGATGCCTCCCTTCTTTTCATCTCCTGTGTGCCCACTGGATGGCACAGGACCTTGGCTCCCTGCATCTCCCTCTTAGAAACCTCAGGCCTTTGTTTTCTTTCCCATGGAATGTGCGTGCTCTGGCTTCCCTTCTTCCTCTTAAATGTAAACCCTTTAGAGTGTTTTGCCGCAACTAATTTTGGCACACCACAAATAGTGTTCAGAAGTCAGTATTTGTTGCCTGGGCACGGTGGCTCAGTCCTGTATCCCAGCACTTTGGGAGGCCAAGGTGGGCAGATCACTTGAGGTAGGGAGTTCAAGACCAGCCTAGCCAATATGGTAAAACCGTGTCTCTACCAAAAGTACAAAAAAATTAGCTGGGCATGGTGGTGGGTGCCTGTAGTTCCAGCTACTGAGGAGGCTGAGACAGGAGGATCACTTGAACCCAGGAGGCAGAGGTTGCAGTGAGCTGAGATCACACCATTGCACTCCAGCCTGGGGGACAGAGTGAAACTCTGTCTCAAAAAAGTCAGCATTTTCTGACCCTCAAATCTTGGGCCAAGTCTTAGGAAACCCCAGTTCCTTATTTCACCTTTTCTCCTGTGGCCTTGGGCAAAATCCTCAGCAGTTTTTCCTTTACCTACCATTTGGCCACACAAAAGTAGTGCCACCTACATTGATATGTGAATGAAGCTAAAGGAAGAGAAGGCTAGGGAGGGGCCTGAAAGGCACAGAGGAAATCTCTCTTTAAAAAAAAGAAATTAAGTTCTGGGATACATATACAGGACATGCAGGTTTGTTATATAGGTAAATGTGTGCCACGGTGGTTTGCTGTACCTGTCAATCCATCACCTAGGTATTAAGCCCCATATACATTAGCAGTTTATCCTAATGCTCTCCCTCCCCACCACACACTCCCTGAGAGGCCCCAGTGTGTGTTGTTCCCCTTCCTGTGTCCATGTGTTCTCGTTGTTCAGCTCCCACATAAAAGTGAGAACATGCGATGTTTGGTTTTCTGTTCCTGTGTTAGTTTGCTGAGCATCATGTCTTCAGTTCCATCTATGTCCCTACAACAGACATGATCTCATTCCTTTTTATGGCTACATAGTATTCCATGGTGTATGGGTACCACATTTTTTTATCCAGTCTATCATCGGTGGGCATTTTGGTTGATTCCATGTCTTTGTTATTGTGAATAGGGCTGCAGTGAACATACGCTTGCATGTATCTTTATAATAGAAAGGAAATACCCCTTTTAAAAGAAGCTGCTAGTTTTGCCTACCTGGTAGGCAAAAATCAGAAACTATTGAGACTAACTTGCTAGAGTAGCAAGGAGAGTAGTAACGTGCACTACTGGAGAAGGACATCCTTCATTCTCACTCTGGCCAACGATTGTGTTTTGATTTTTGAGCATGAGATGAGCCATAGTTATTGGTAGAGAAAGGGAAGAGTCTAACTATTAGGAAACATACTGAGGTCTGAAAGAGACACTCCATAGCTCTGTCCTCTTCTTCTCCTAGATAAACTCAGCATAAATATTAGAAGTAGTAGAAGAATTTGAAGAGCTATTTACTTATATTTTCATTTTTACTGAGACAGGGTCTCACTCTATCACCGAGGCTGGAGTGCAGTGGCACAATGTCTGCTCACTGCAGCCAGCACCTCCGGGATTCAAGCAATTCTCCCACCTCAGCCTGCCATGCAGCTGGGATTACAGGCGTGAGCCACCGTGCCTGGCCTGAAGAACTATTTATTATTTAATTGACATCAGACAAAAGAGTTCTTTGAAATATTCACTTAGAATTTAATCTTGGACCAGAATTCTAAAAGTGCTGCATCAGACAATGTTTGTGCTAAGGGATTTACATCACCTTTAGATTTCTCTCTACCACAAGCTGGCTGATATCTAGTGTCTCAAACTACTGTGGCATACTACATTGACAAACACTGTTTTTTCCTATCTATTCATGGAAATATTTCCCATTATACAGGCTGTATCTTCTCTATTTTTGTTCTTTTTTTTTGTTTCTTCATTCTTCCACTTTCCCTGTCCAGGTCTTCCAAAATAGGGATCACAGGTCCACATGCCTACAGAGCTGAGGAGGATACTCACAGGAGTGAGGTGGGCTAGGGGCAACCGCACCCCCTGTGTGTGCCTCTGTAGGGACAGCTGACTTGCAGCTCCAGCAGATTGTGGCCATATGGGAATATGAGCCCACAGC